TATAATGTTTAAGCGGCTCCCTCAGATTACTTATCAGTTACAAATTTACCAATTACATAGAGGACAGTGTTTTAGCCAAGAGATTAAAACTAACACCTTTAGTAAAAGGACAAATCCAGTGACATCACCCTAAGCAGATTCACCCAACAGATTCAGAGTTGCTGGGGATTTAGCTCAGTTGTTCTGTTGCCGGCCTCACCAGCGAGGTCTCGAGTTCGATCCCCAGTACCAAAACAAAACAAAACAAAACAAACAAACAAAAAAACCCTCAGAGAGTATTTAAGAACATAGTTATTTTCTTACATGATCACTAGAAAGTCATTACATTGAAGAAATTAATACTAACACAACTGTGTTGCTGGCTAATATAGTCTCCTTCGCGTTTTCCCAGTGGGTCAGTTTGTCCAGTTGCTACCCTGGACCTGGGCACATGCGGCCCAGGCCCTTGTGAACCGCGAGGGGAGAGCCGTCAGGTATATACCCCACAGCAAGCGGCTACACTCGGTGAAGCTCAGCCAAGTCCACGTGGACAAAAGTTACGGCACAGACAGAAAGAAAAGGGTGCCGGGGTGACGGAGAAAGCAAAGCACAGCGCACAGGCCATAGCACACAGCGGCAGCGGCAGCTCTCGCTTTCACAGGGCCCTCTCTGAGAGCCGTGTGATTGACAGAGGACCGATCGACAAGGTGCTCTGCGATCTCGGGAGCTTTGCACACAGGCTCGTCCTGGAACTCGCGCTCATCTGCGTCTCTTTATGAGAGGCAGCGCATATTTATGAGCCTGTAATGAGGTGGGAGGAGCGAGGAGGCGAGGGAGGGTCAGGCTAGGAGATCCACCGCGCACAAGCTCTGGCCCAGAGCATCGGAGATCTCCTGGGGTTAACGTTATTGTCCACCTCTGTCCGGAAAGTGGAAGAAGGAATGACCATAGGGTGCTGCTTAGAATTAAGTGGCTTATTTATTTAGAATTAAGGGCTGTTTAGAATCAGCTCCCTGTTTCTAACTTTACTACAATTATTAGAATCGTGCCTGTTGGGTACTTGCTGTGACCTCAACAGGATGGGGTCTGGTACAGTTCTCCACCAGCCAGGTCCCTTTTCTTCGTAGAACTAAATATTCACACACTTAATGGAAACACTAAATGGGAAATTCCAGAAATAAAGTGTAACTAACTTACAGAATACTGTTAAGTCTCTTACTGTGCCCAGTGCATAAATTAGACCTGCTCTTTCATATGCATGCATAGGAAAAAAATATGGTATAGAAACGGTTTGGGACCATCTGCAGTGTAGGCACCCACTGGGCCCTGGGGCCACACCAGGCCAGTGCTTACTTCTGTATACAAAAAAGGTTAAGTATTCAGAAAACAACTTAATAAACCCACCACCTACATTTAGCAGTGATTAAGATTTCGCCATTTTTGCCGAAGTACTTAAATAGTGAGTAAATAGCATTTCAGCTCTAATTAGCAAGGACAAAATCTTCCAAACCCACAATTACTTTGTCCAAATATAAGAAAACTACTTCCTTGCTATCATCTTACTCACAGCCCGTATTCAAATTTCCAAAATTGTCCTAAATAATTTTTTACTGGCTGGTCTGAGTTACTGTGGAGCAATTCCTCACCTTTTCTCTGTTTAATGCTATTGTCTTGTTGTGTGTGTGTGTGTGTTTGCGAGGGCTTAAACTTAGGGCCTTATGCGTGCTAGGCAGGTGCTCTACCCTGGGTCTACACACCAGCCCATGCTGTTATGTGACAGAGGAAACCAAATGAGTTTTTCTGTAGAACATCCCTTATTCTGGATTTGGCTGGTTATTTCTACATTCAGTGGTTTAACTTGTCCCCTAGATTTTAGGTTACTTGGAATTTAGGTTTAAAATCTTCCTTAGTCTGAACAAAAATATTAAACTTTTTGGGACAAATATTTCATGGATGATATCTTGTTCTTTGTAGCTCAAAACCTGAACATGCTCAGAATACCCAGCCTCTCCGTTACTCACAAGGCTAAGATTTGATGAGTTCTTTGATGATAGCCTCTTACTGCCAAGGTAGAATTTCATTTGTCTCTTCCAACCGATACTAGTCTGTGTCGGAATCGTCTTCCTTTTAGTGCTGAATACTATTCCATTGCATTATGTATATTATACATTTTATTTATCTATTCATCCATCTATCCATTTCACTATTCTTTTTATATTTCTTATTTTTGTGGTACTGGGGCTTGAACCTAGGACTTTGATGTGTTAGGCAAACATTCTACCACTGACCTACATCCCTAGCCCTTTTTGATTTTTATTTTGAGACAAGATCTTCTAAGTTGCCCAAGTTAGCCTCAAACTTGCTGTCCTCCAGCCTCAGCGTCATGAGAACATGGGATTATAGGTGTGTGCCACCAGGGCCAGCTCACTTTTCTTTTTGATCCTCTACTTTTCTCTACTTGAATGGGGGGGTGGCTTTTCTAGCAGGTCCAAAGATTTTCTGACAACATACCACTGGTCTTTGAGCATTATCTTGCTCTCTCGCTCTCTCTCTCTCTCTCTCTCTCTCTCTCTAGTATCACGGATCGAACTTGGGACCTTGTGCTTGTGAGGCAAGCAGTGGCCACTGAGCTAAATCCCCAACCCTTCTTGCTCTCTCTTAAAGGCTCAGGCACTTCTTGCCAAAGACCTGCACCTTGGTCTTCACAAAGAAGTCCAGATTTCTTTTAGTTGGTGTATTGATCACTTTTTTGTTGTTGAGAAAAAGTACCTGACACATACAACTTAAAAGAGAAAAGGGTTATTTTGGCTCCCTTTTTCAGAGGGTTCAGCCCATGGTGTACAGACACCAAGGAAGAAATGGCACAGTTTAAGGCCTGGAATATGAAAGCTCCTCAATCCATGATAGCCAGGAAACAGCAAAAGCAGGGGCCAGAGCAAGAGCTATACCCTTCCAAGGTGACCTATGCATAGCCCACCTCCTCTAAATAGGCCTCACCTCCCAACAGCACATTTAACCATGATGGGTAAATTCACTGATCTTAGCAGGAACCAAGGAATGAAATTGACCAATGACCCATTCACTCAGGCCACATGACCTCCTCTAACCAATCAGATTATCCCATTTCCACAGCCACAGTCATTGGCTCTGGGATGGGCAGCCGAGCCAATGAAATTCAACCGCTGTCATTTCAGTGAGCCTATGGAGAGAAAGACATTCTATCCCCACCAGTGTTGCTAACCTGGGAAGAAGTGAGACCAGGGTACCAGCCGTCATCTCACCACCACGAAGGACAATCTGTCCAGAAGTGAGATCATCGAAGATGAAAGTAGAACCCTAAGAGTAGGAGGGAAATGTGCTTCCAGAGATGCCAACTACAAGTGGATCCAGTCATCGTGGCCTTTTCCATGCATAGGTCAATACATTCTCTTGTCTGCTTAACCCAGTGTGTATTAGATTTTGGTTTCTCAAACTGAAAATTGTCCTAATTCGCATGGATTTCTTTTTGTTGTAGCTGTTGTTTTGTTTTTGAGTCAGGGTCTTGCTATGTAGCCCAGGCTAGCCTAAAAGTCTTGATCGCCCTTTCTCAGCCTCCCTAGTGATGAGATTACAGGCCCCTATCTCAGGCTGATTTGCTAACAGGATGCAAATAAACATTTATGGGGAGACTGTGTTCTAGTCATTATCTCAGCGATTTCCAAAGCCACTTTTCAAGAGAACTTCTTGATAATGGCGGTGATGGAAAGTTTTTAATCACATGTGTCCTGAAGAATTTTGAAAACAACTTTGTCTTGGAGCTGGGGATTTATCTCAGTGGTTCCGCCACCTGCCTCACAAGCACAAGGACCTGAGTTCAATCCCCAATACCAAAAAGACATGGTCTTGCTATTCAGTTCCGGCTGGCTGGCCTTAAACTCATGCCTGGCCTTGAAGTCACAGTGATTCTCCTGCCTCAGCCTCCTGAGTGCTAGGATTACAAGCATGCATCACCATGCCCAGCTTCCATATACTTCTTAAGATTGTAGCATTAAAAAAAACATTTTCACTCTAGGTTGAAATAGTTTCAAAGGATACAATTTTTCCCATCTTGTAGATATTAAAATTTTCAAATTAAACTTTTTGGTCAGTTTTTGGGACAGTGTCTTCGTTACTTTTCTCGTTGATAAGGCAAAATACCCAACACCCAAAGCTAATGGAGGAAAGGTTTGTTTGGCTCAGAATTTGTAGAGGTTTCAGTCCATAGTCAGCTGGCTCCAAGACAAGGTGGCAGAGGAACGCCACAGTGCAGGAACTGTTCATGGCAGGTTGAAGGTAGCAAAAGCAACCAAGCAAAGGACCTTAGCAGCTTCTCTGTCCCTTTCATACTCTGTCGAGGCCACCTGCATTGGGGCAGTGCCAAATCAATCAGCGGACTGATTTAGTAACCACATACCCTTAAGCCAAGCATCACACACTGTTGAATCAACCACCTCTGAAAAAGCCCCCATGACCGCATGAGGCTTTGGGGGACATCTAGACACAAACAATAAGGCAGGATCTCATCATGTAGTTCGTGCTGGCCTTGAACTCACTTTGAAGCCCCTTCAGGAATCTTCCTGTCTCAGCCTCCAGAGTGCTGGGATCACAGGCATTTGCCACTTTTCCCAGCTTCAGTCACTTTTAAAAGTGTCTGGGAGCAAACAAGCTCTTTGGAGTCAGCTCAGTTGCCTCATCCCCTCTCTCCTTCATCCTGTATTTCTGACCCACAGCCCCTAAAAATTTCTTCCTAGTTTAATATATGTTTGAAGACCTTTTGTTGATCTCCCATCATTTCTGTGCCACAAAATCATATATACGAAATAAGTGTATATTATATTTACAAGTGTGTACGTTTAAATATTTTCAACTTTCTATGATTATCAGGACATAAAGTTCTTTAATTTAAATGAGCGATAACTGCAGTGAATGGCATGTAATTGATCAAAAGAACAAAAAACATAGTTTTGACAGTTATCAAATACAAAAACAATTTGAGAGGAATTAATCTCTGTGAGGTGGATGGTTGGGGGTCATGAAAAGTGTGTTTATCTTGTACAGGAATTCTCTTTTGCTGCACTGAAACAGGCCTGGGCATCCAACTTGTCCACATTTTTCATACACAAAGATGTGTCCCCTGTATGAAGCTATTCATCAAATAACAAACAAACAGGAAAGGGAAGGAAGGAAAAGAACTCTTGTTACATACAACTCAGATGCATCTCAAGGGCATTATGATGACTGAAAAAAGAAAAGCCAATTTCAAAAAGTCCCAAGCCAAAGGTAGTGGTGTGCACACCTATAATCCCAGCACTAGAGAGGCTGAGGCAGGAGGATCACCACACGTTCAAGGCCAGCCTGGACTACATAGCAGACTCTGTCTCCAAAAAAGGGGTGGGGTGGGGATTTAGCTCAGTGGTTCTGCCACCTGTGCCAAAAGTGCAAGGTCCCAAATTCGATCCCTGGCACACACACAAAAAAGACAGTCCCATGCTGTATAACCCCATTGAAACAACAAAATCACAGAAGTAGAGTGAGGGACAAGGGTTAAGGAGTGAGGGGTGAGGGGTAGTCGGGTAAGGGTGGGGTCACAATAAAGGAGAACGGGGGGGGCATGGACTGTCCACTAGCATCCTCTAACTGGTGCACAAAACCCCACGTATTTTGGGGAGCAGGCAATGTTTGGACACATGTATGCACTCCTCAGGGTTCAGATCGAGGACTCTAGACAGCCTCGCGCCTGCACACGCACACACACACACACACACACACCGGTGGTCGGGCGGACCTGGAACGTCACAGGCCAGGGTCCATCTCCTGCTTCTGATTTTGGTTTTTTGTTTTATTTCGGTTCTGGGGATGAAACCCACGGCTTTTGTATTGAGCGACATCCCTGGCTCTTTTTAATTTATATTTATTTTTATTTTGAGACATAGTCTTGCTAAATATCTAAGTTGCCAGGGCTAGGCTTGAACTTTCCACCCTCCTGCCTCAGCCTCCCAGAGTGCTGGGATTCCAGGCGTGCACCACCACGCCCAGCTACAATTTCTCAGTGTTGACATGGCCCTAAACTAAGTAAGACCCACCACTGGGGATAACCGGCTCCTCAGTATTATCTTCGCCACTTCCTGTGTACCCACAATTACTTACAGTACTTTCCCAAAGATGGATGCCCTCGGACACCAACCTCTCATTTATCCGCAGACAGAGCTCAGTAGTGGTGTCACTGAACTCTTCGGACTCCTGCTCATGTCCGAGATCACCCAGCGGAATACATTTTAACGTTTTCCAGGACGGGCAGTTCAGTCAGGCCCTCCCTCCGTTTTGTCTAAGACGATGCACAGGCGTCGCCCTGTGGCCCCGTGGTGGCCCCGGAGCGCCCCCTCGCGGTCGGGCCGTGCGCCTCGGTGGCCCGGGCTGAGGGACTGGGACGCCTCCCTCGAGCGACCCACCACACTCTCGGGAGAAGCAAGGTTTGTGGGTTTTCCTGGTGCCGGGCGGGTAAGTGCAAACACCGCCGGGAACTGCTTGTGTTACAGCTGTCAATGATGTCACTGCTACTGGTGAGCTCACAATTGCTGGGGGGAAAGACTGGTTACACAAAAGCCCAAGGAAAAAGGAAATCATTCATTTTCTCTTCACACCCCCCCCCATCAAGCCTCCCTGGACGCAGATCCACCTAGCGGCCAGCAGGGGGCGGCACCGCCCCATAGTTGTCTTGGTTCCAGAGCTGGCTCCTGGGCCCTGAGAGGTTTGCATTCGCGGTTAACTGAGAATTAAGGTGGAAAATCTCTGCTTTCTTCCTGCCCTTTCATTGCCAAGATAAGCGTCCTTAGTATCTGGTGCCGATTGACTCGGTTTCTTTGAATTGCGCTTCTTTGACACTGAAGAGAATTCGAGCTGGTGGTTTTGCCTACGGGAAGCGAAGGGTGAAGGTAAAGACACACTTGTTTCCTGCAGAGCAAGGACTTTGCAGGAACGCGTTTAATCCTTGCAATGAGAAAAGGCGGTAGGTTTTCTTTGATAACACCAGGGACAGTTTGGAACATCTAGATTCTGTTTACCGTTCAACTCTCCGGCTGTTATTAACCAATAGGTTTCTAGGGTTAGGGAAATATCACATTAGGAATTTTCTATTACAAACCTACAATGGATAACGTGGTCTTTTCTGTTAATAAATAACTTTTAATAAAGAGGGATAAATATCCAGTGATTCATAAATAGCTATTGTTTATGTGTAACCATCACAGCATGCTGTAGTGTGTGTGTGTGTGTGTGTGTGTGTGTGTGTGTGTGTATATGTGTGTCGCTGGGGTAAGAAGGTTCAGCAAGATCAATTCATACCAAGCGTGATGGCGCACACCTGTAATCCCAGCACTCGGAGGCTGAGGCAGGAAGATCACTGTGAGTTCAAGACCAGCCTGGGCTACATAGTGAGTCCAAGGACCGTCTGAACTACATAGCGAGACCCCATCTTAAAAACAAACAAACAAACAAACAAACAAAAAAACAAAAAACACCACCACCACCACTAACAACAACAACAACAAAAATCAAAAGCAAACAAAACTATGTAAGATCAGTAATTCCAGTCCTAACCCACTCACCTAATACCGTGCCAGGGCCAGCCTTAAGGAAATCGATTTGCAATGCCTTCCCAACCAGGTGCTCTTAAGCAAATGGCTCTGCATGGCAAAATGACATCCGGGCTCAAGGCCACGGCTCAGTTGGAGTCCTCAGTCTGCTGCTGTGTGGCCCAGCTCGGCTCCTCTGAACACTGATGAAGGCATCATGTCCTAAAGAAGTGGTGGCCGACTTGAGTGTACATAGTAGAAAGGACAAAGCCCTAGAGCATGGCTCCCTCTGCGGGAATCACTCTGCCCTTGTGTGTTAGAACACAAGCAAATGACAATGCAGGCTGGCCTCGAACTCATGGCAATCCTCCTGCCTCAGCCTCCCGAGTGCTGGGATTACAGCACCACCACGTCTAGCTCACTGAGCGGCCCTAAGATTCTTTCCATCAAATAGTAGATGTGAAAGCTTAAAGGATAATAAAATATGAGAATAAGGGCTGGGGATTTAGTCCAGTGGTGCCACATCTGCTGCCCAAGTGCAAGGTCCTGAGTTTGATCCCTGGTTGTGAGAGAGAGAGAGAGAGACAGAGAGAGAGAGAGAGAGCATGCAGGAGTTAAGACATAAGTTACTTGGCTCTAGAAGGAATTTTTTTTTACTCAAGTTCTGCAACAGAAATATAAGGCACCTCTCACTGAGAGCCACAAGGTGGGCCACATGCACCATTTAAAATTCTACAGTGGCCACATTAAAAAAGAGACAGGTGATTATTAATTCTAATAATGTACTTTATGGAGCCCAGCTTAACGCAATATGGAACCACTGTTTTATATATATAAATTTTATATGTATGAATTATATATATATGAATTACATATGTATGAATTATATATATATGAATTACATATGTATGAATTATATTTATTTATATATAATATAATCTTTTTGGTACCGGGGATCGAACTCCGGCCCTTGCTCTTGCGACAGGTGGCAGAACCACGGGTACGACATATGTTAATGCAGCCCAATATAGTGATTACTGCCTGAACTAACCTAAAAACATCAGCACGTCGTTGAGCATTCTTTCTTCCCACAGAGTCCTCGCGGTCTGGTCCGCATTTCACGCTCCCTGCGCATCTCCATCAGACCGCACGGCCTCCGGGCGCTCGGACCACAGCGGCCCCTGCTGGGGATTCTCCGCCACTGCGAGCACCTCGCCGGAGAACAGCAGCAGCTGTACACCAACCGCGGCTGGCAGGCGACCGGCGGCGCCAACAGTCCAGCTGCTGCTCATCCCCTTCCTCCCAAGGTGTTGGGCCCCTTCTGCTCCCGCTGGAGGGCGGATCTGCCAGGAGCTGCTTGGGCTCCATCTCCCTGCTGAATTCACGTAACCCATGGCAACAGCCAGGCGCCTGGAGCTGAGCTTTGCTCGCTTCCCACACTGCTGAGACGGAAGTGGGAAGAAAGCAGTCGTCTGCAGTGTGGAAACCAGAGCAGGGTGGCAGGGGGTGTGGAGTCCTCTTTCTAGGAACCTCTGTGCAAAAAGAGCTTTAGAGCAGAGTCGATGAGCTAGGACCTGGCTTTCACTTGCACAAGGGCCGCTTAGTTGCCCACGCAGAAATGGTGCTTTCATAGCTTACTTAACTACTAGGCTCAGTCTCAAAATATGTCCTTGCTGGGTGTGGTGGTGGCACACACCTGGAATTCCAGCACTCAGGAGGCTGAAGCAGGAGGATCACGGTGAGTTTGAGGCCAGCTTGGGCTGCACAGAGTTCAAGGCCAGCCTGAGGTACTAAGTGAGACCCTGTCTCAAAAAACAAAGAAATAGGGTGAGGGTTTTGGCTTAGTGGTGCTGCTGCCTGCCTCACAAGTGCAAGGTCCCAAGATCGATCCCCAGCACCAAAGACAAAACAAAGCAAACAACAAACAGCAAACTAGGACGCAAAGTGAGTTTACAATATTATATACTCTAAGAAATAAAATCCTCCCCAGACAAAAAAGAACAACTCTCAAAAATCTAATAAGCCAAATGTCTGACAGGGAGTTACCCTAAGGAGATTAATATCGTTTACCAATTTAGCCCAATTCTCTAAAACTTTTCAAATTAAAATCACAAGTGTAAAGTCAGTGACCAGCTTGCATACTGCAAATTGGAATCGCAGGGTGTTGTGGTCTGGATCCAGGGTATATTCTTGTGACCAAGGCATTCACACATTTCCTGATTGGCTGTAAGGACCACTTCGGGCACTGGTTAGTCAGATCAAGACTCACTAACTGAGATTATGTGGGGGTACAAAAAGGATAAGTGTGATAGTTTGGCTCTTAAGGGTCTCTGAGTGGTTCATACCCTACAGGCTTGGTCCCCAGCCCGAAGCACTGTTGCGAGGCAGCTGGAGCTTTAGGAGGCGGGGTCTAGTGGGAGGAAATGAGGTCATTGGGGGCGTGGCCTCGAAGAGGTTTTGGGGTTTCCAGCTGCATCTTGCTTCTTTCTGCTTCTCATTCACCATGAGGTAAGTAGTTTCCTCTGCCATGCATCCAAGCCATGATGTACAGTTTCAAGGTTCACCAGAGGAACAGATTTAACATAAAATATATACTAGCTGTGATATGTGAAGGATTTATAACGTAGGCTTAGGGTGGCTGCCTGTGGAGTCCGGGGAGCAGAATGTAAAATGGCCGCCTGCGTGCTCCAGAGGAGGCTCCGGCCCAAGGTCAAAGGTCAGACTCCCGCCGAGTGCAGCGTGAGGTCCTATGGGAAAAGTCGGTCTCATTGGAGGGCGAAAGAGTCTGAGCCGGAAGCCGGAAGGAACTGGAGATGAATGTCAGTGGCGAAGACCAGAGCGCCTCCAAAAACGTGCAAGGGCAGACTTCCCTCTTCTTCCCTTTTCATTCCATTCAGGCAACAACAAGCCTGTTGGTCAGTGCCACCCACATCCAGGGTGGGTCTTTTCTGTTTGCAGACACACCCAGAGCTGTGCTTCGCCGACCCTCCAGGCATTTCTTACTCAAGTTGACACCATCATGCACCGTCACGTAGAACGTACCACTGTAGGCCAAAGCAGTGGACAGAAACCTCTCAATCCATGAGCCAAAATAAGCCTTTCCTCCTCCCCACCAACGTGTCAAAAAAGAACTTTTATTCTTTTCTAACATCCTCATGCTTTCTTGCTCGATGCCTTTGGACCCGGCACCTTCTGGACTGGAGCCTTCTGACCCATCTGTGCTTTTGGCGGAGGCAGCTTTCTGGCCAGGCACCCTCTGGCAGGAGTCTCCTTCTTTGCTGGAATTTTAGCGGCTGCAGGTGCAGCCTTCGAAATAGGCGCCTTTTTTGGGAGAAGCCTTTATGGTAGCCGCCCTTGGCAGCTTCTTTACTTCATTCTTGGTTATCCTGTTCCTCCTTTTCTTTGCCTTCATGACTTTAAAACACTCAAGCCTGTCATCTTGGCTTTTCTTTCTCTGGCTTCAATCTTCTTGGCCCATCCGGTGGCTGCCCGCTTGGTGCTGACGTCAGCCTTCTGCCAGGCTTGCGGGACTCACTTGCGGCGGGCGCTGTGTGGGAACCTGAGGACGAAGTGGGTCGGTTGCATGCTCTTGAAAGGCGTGGCCTGGCTCTTCACCCGAGTGCAGGGTCCGTCCACCAGCACCCTGTTCTGCTCGGTGACATCCGCACTCTCGACCAGCTCTCTGGCATGAGGTCCAAAGGAGACGCGGGCCACCGGCCGACCACCCAGCGTCTGAACACCAGGTTGGCAGCGCGAGCCGAGAAGGAAGCCAAGCCTTTCCTCCTCCTACGCCGATTTTCTCAGGCATTTTGTCAGAGCAATGGGAAGTAAACCAACACACAGGGCCACTTACTGTATGAAACTAATATGCACAGACCCTTAGGCATTAATTACAAGACTTTCCATGATTGGTATATACAGATCGTTTCAATGAATAAAACCAACTTCCTTTTCCTAACCTTAAGAAAAAAGGAATGTTTTAATTGATTTTATTTACTTCATCTCTATATTTAATTAGAAATTTTTCTAGGAGTAGAATTGCTAGTTACTGGGCATACATGTGACCCAGTAATTCTTGTGCTAAAAATACAACAAAAGGGGCTGGGGGTATAGCTCAGTGGTTCTGCCACCTGCCTCGCAAGCGCAAGGACCCGAGTTTGATCCCTGGTGTCCAAAACAAACAAACAAAAAACAAATAAAATGCATATACGTCTGTTCACCAAAAGCCATGAACTACATATTCAAAGCAGCTCTATTTGTAAATAGCCCCCAGTGAAAATGACACAGGCACCATCAGCAGTGGGTGGGTCCTTGTGTGGTGTTTTCACCCAAAGGAGCTAACAGCAGGGCGATGAAAGACATCCAGATCTGAGTGACACCTATAACTCAGGAGGGGGACGCAGTGTGTGACCCCACTCACACGAAGGGCAAGGCTGTGACTTCATCGTGGAGGTGGCTCTCAGCTGCCCCGGTGAGAATGGGCTATGGGGTGGGGGTTTTCTGCCATTTGGCTTCTATTCCGTTTCTCTGTCTGGGTTCCAATTCCAGCAGTATGAGCAGTGAGAGTTCTTCAAGATTGGCTTTTTGTTTGCTTGTTTGTTTGCTTTTTTTGAGACAGGGTCTGTTTATGTAGTTCAGGCTGGCCTTGAACTCATGCAGATCCTCCTGTCTCAGCCTCCTGAGTTCTGGGATTACCGGTGTGTGCCATCATGCCCGGCACTAAGCTTCGCATTTGGTTGTGAGCCTGTTTCTGCCCACAAGTTTTTCCTCCACACATAGTAAATTTTTTTAGCTCAGTGGTGCCGTGTCTGCCTTGCAAGTGCAAGGTCCTGAGTTCAGTCCCCACCCCCACCCCCAAAAGAGGTGAAGTCATTTCTTTAAACGAACACTTAGTCCAAAGGAAGGACTTTCGCCACCCCAAGGAAAGTGGGTGAGCTGCCGAGGAGGAGCAACAGTATTGGGCAGCTGAGACCTTTTTACAGTCAAAATGCCAGGCGGCCCTGAGCTTGTCCTCTAAGGCACAGACGGTGCTCCTGTTTCCCCACCGAGCTTCCCCTCACACTTCTGTTCTGCTTGGTTGCTTTTCTTTCAGATCTTTTCACAAGTGTCTTGCCCCCTGGCACTTCTGTTCTCTCCGCTCTTTGGCATCCCTGACTGCAAGGCCTCTGTTCTCTGCCCCGAGTCTGTGTCGCAGCCTCTGCCGGGCCTGGCTTTTCTTCCT